CAAACAAACGTACATAGTGTTTACATGTTTCTACTTTAACTGCTAAACACTGGGATGTCATGATAGTAGACCCAAAACAATTGTTCATCCTTTTTCTGCTGATGAATACATATTTTTCATTTAAAATGAAACTTTACAATTTCATTTATTTTTTTATTTTTATTTATTTATGTTTTTATAATTTTATTTATTTATTTTTTCCCCAAAGCCCCAGTAGATAGTTGTGTGTCATAGCTGCACATCCTTCTAGTTGCTGTATGTGGGACGCGGCCTCAGCATGGCCGGACAAGCAGTGCGTCGGTGCGCGCCCGGGATCCAAACCCGGGCCGCCAGTAGCAGAGCGCGCGCACTTAACCGCTAAGCCACGGGGCCGGCCCACAATTTCATTTAAATTAAGGTTAAATTACATACAGAATAGGTTGCCAGATTTACCAAACAAAAATAAAGGAACCCAACTAAATTTCAGTCTCAAATAATTTTGGTTGTTTTAGTATAAATGTGTCCCAAATATTGAGTGGGAAATATTTGTACTAAAAAAAACTTATTCATTGTTTATCTGAAATTCAATTTAACTGAGTATTCTACTTTACCCTGCAATCCTAATACAGAAAAATGCACAGATCTTAAATTTATAAAATCAAATGAATTTTGGTAATGTTTATACCCATACAGCCAACACCCCAATCAAGACACAGAACATTTCCATTACTCTAGGTTCTCTTTTGTCCCCTTTCAGTTAATCTTCACTCTCTCTGTAGGCAACCATTGTTTTCTTTTGATTAGTTTTGTCTGTTGCTAAACTTCATCTAAATGGAATTGTACAGTACTCTTTTGTGTCTGGCTTCTTTCAAAACATAATGTTTTTGAAATTAACTCATGTTGTATGAGTCAATAGTTCATTCTCTTTTACTGCTAAGTAATATTCCATTGTAGAACATACCACAACTTTTCAATCTATTCTCCTGTTAATAGACACATGGCTTGGTTCCAACTTGGGGAATGAATAAATGAATGAATAAATATATAAAGTTATGAACATTCATGTACAATTTTTTTGGTTGATGTTTTTATTTCTCTTGGGTAAATACCTAGGACTGGTTTTGCTAGTTCATGGGGTAGTTGTATGTTTAATTTACAAGCAACTGCAAACTATTCTCCAAAGTAGTTGTGCCAATTTTTATTCCTACAAATAACATGAGTTTTAGTTACTCCATATTCTTGCAACTTTTATTGTTGTTAGCCTTTAAAACTTTTGACATTCTACTGGATTTTTCTTTACTGTTTGTCCATTTTCTATTTCACTGTTTTCTCCTCTTACATTCTGTACTTCCTTTCTTCTACTCACTTAGTATTTAATATGCTCTTCTTTTTCTAGCTTTCTAAGAATGAAACAGATCATTGATTTTAAAACTTTCTTCTTTTCTAACAGACTTCTAAAGCCATAAATTTCTCTCTAAGCACTGCTTTATCTGTATCCCCAAAATTTGTACATTTTATGTTTTCATTCAATTAAAAATAAATGTATTGTTTTATTTCCAAATATTTAGGACTTTTCTAGATAGCTTTTTGTTAGTGATTTTTAATAATTTAATTCCATTGTGGTCAATGGCCAAGCATATGGTCTACTTTGGTGAATGTTTCATAAGTGCTTGACAGTAGTGTCTATCCTACCATTGTTGGGTGTAGTGATTTATCAATATCACTTTGATCCAAATGGTTGGTGGTGTTTTCAGTATTTTTACTGGTTTGTCTACTTCCATCAGTTGTTAAAATCCACAACTTTGTGGATTTTTCTATATCTCTAGTTCTGTCAATTTTTGCCTCACGTATTTCGAAGCTGGTTTTCAATGCATACACATTTAGGATTGATGTCTTCTTGATGAACGTCCCCTTTTTTCTTTATGAAAAGTCCTTCTTCACCTCCAGTATATTACTTCTTTTGAAGTCTATTTTGTCTTATGTTAATATAGCCACTTGTTTTCTTATGATTACTGTTTGTATGGTCTATTTTTTCCACATTCTTTTACTTTCATCCTGTGTCTTTATTTAAAGTTTAATTCTTGTAGACAACATACAGTTGGGCTTTTTCAAAAATCTAGTCCTTTTGATTGGAGTATTTAGTTGGTTTACATTTAAGTAATTATTGGTTTGGTTGAATCTAGGCCTACCTTTTTGCTATTTGTTTTCTACTTCTCCTGTGTTTTTTGACCTATATTTCCTTCTTTCCTTCCTTCTTTTGGTTAATCATATACCTTCCAGTATTCAGTTTTTTTTTTTTTTTGAGGCAGAGTGGCCCTGTGCTAACATCTGTTGCCAAGCTTCCTCTTTTTCTCCCCAAAGCCCCAGTACATAGTTGTGTGACATAGCTATAGAGTTGTGGCTCTTCTATGTGGGACGCCGCCTCAGCATGGCTTGATGAGCAGTGAGTAGGTCTGCTCCCAGGATCTGAACTGGTGAAACCCAGGCCGCTGAAGCAGAATGCGCGAACTTAACCACTACGCCACTGGGCCGGCTCCTCAGAATTCAATTTTATTTTTTTAAAGATTTTTATTTATTTTTTTCCCCCCAAAGCCCCAGCAGATAGTTGTATGTCATAGCTGCACATCCTTCTAGTTGCTGTATGTGGGACGCGGCCTCAGCATGGCCAGAGAAGCGGTGCGTCAGTGCGTGCCCGGGATCCGAACCCGGGTCGCCAGCAGCGGAGCGCGGACACTTAACCGCTAAGCAACAGGGCTGGCCCTCAATTTTAATTCCTCTAAATTTTACTTCTGCCTTGCAATTGTATAATTCCCTTTAACCCCTGCAACTTGTGCTATTGCTGGCATATATTTTACATCTAAATATAAGCCAGAATACCATGTTAAATTGTCAGTCGTCTTTTAAAACCATGAAGTGAAGAAAAAATCGATAGTCTTTTATACTCACATACTTAGTATTTCATTCCTTCTATCTGATATCATTTACCTGCAGCCTAAAAAACCTCCCTCGGCTTTCCTCGTAGTGCAGGTCTGCTAGTGACAAATTCTGTTTTTATGAAGATTGCTTTATTTGGCCTTCATTTTTGAAGGATATTTTTACTGGATATAGAATTCTGGATTGATCTGATTTTGTTTTGCTTTTTCATTCCAGTACTTTAAAGATGTCTTTCCATTGTCTTATGACTGCCATTGTTTCTGATGAGAAGTAGTCAACATTTATAGTTCCCCACTATGTAGTGGGTTCTCTTGGTGGCTTTTAAGGTTTTGTCTGGTTTTCGTCAGTTTTAACTACGATGCGTGAGGTGTGGTTTTCTATGTATTTATTATGCTTGGCATTCACCAAACTTATTGGATCTGTGTGATGATAGTTTCACCAAATTTGGAAATTTTGGCCTTTATTTACTCATATTTTTTTTCTGCCCTATTTTCTTTTTCTTCTGGGAATCCAAGTGCATATACGCTAAACTGCTTGGTATTGCCCCAAATGGCATTGGGGCTCTGTGCTTTTTTTCTTCCCTTTGATCTTTCTTTATTCCTCAGATAATTTCTATTCATCTGTCATCTGCACTCTGCTGTTAAGTCCAACCATTTGGGCTTTTTGGTTTGTTTCCATTTCTCTGCTGAGTATGCATCTATATTCATTCATTCCAACCACCTTTCCTCTTCATCCTTGAACACAGTTCTCATAGCTGCTTCAAACTCCTTGTCTGTAAATTCCAATTTCTGGGTTATGTTAGGATCTTTCTATTGTGTGTGTGTTTTTACCCTAAGTCATAGTTTCCTGTCTCTTTGCATGCCTCATAATATTTTATTATATTCTAGTCATTGTTGATATGTTAGAAACCTATTTTGTTATCATGCTCTGAAAGTGTTAATAAGCTTTGTTCTAGCAGGCAGTTAAATTATTGGCTAATCATCTTGATTTTATGGAGGCTTGATTTTACATTATATTAAAGGTTTTGTCCTTTGTTTTAGCACAAATCCTTAGTCCCAGGCAGAGTCTTTATTACTAATTCATGGCCATTCTAGGGATTTGATAGAAAGCGCAAGATGCTTATCAAGCCTTCTAACTTGTCAGAACTCAAACTCAAAACTCAGTCTTCCCTTGTGATACAGAGCAACAATCTCTGCTCAGCTTTTCCAGCCCTCCAGCTATAGCTTTCTACCAGGTCCTTGGAGTCTTCCCTGCACATGCACAGTTAAGGAGTTAGCCAAAGATTTAAGAGGAGATTATATGTAGATTGGAAGGCTCCTCCCTCAGTGCCACCTTCATTTCTAGGATTTCCTTGTTCAGTTTACAGCTCCTCTAGCAGACCCCAATTCCTCTAACATCTCAAGCCAGTAAGACTGCAACTTTCTCTTATGTTCTAGCTACCCTCACCAGACAGACTGGGAATGCCCTGAAGGGAAAAATCATATAAGAATAGTTCTCAGCCTGCTTTTGGTCACTCCCCAGTGCCTTTAGACAGTTATTTACTATGTTTTGTCCAGAGTTTATAATTGGGAGGGTTTGTATTTTACAAGTTATTCCACCATCACCAAAACCAGAAGTCCTTCATTTTATAATTCCTAACTGTTCCGTTTAACACCTCACCAGAAAATAATACAGCACAGGTACTTAAATGTCCTTGGCTCTCTCCCCTTTTGTGTCCAATAGCTTGAAAATGGAATGTTTCATATATATTAAAATATATTTCATCTCAAATGAAATAAGTTAAAATAATCTCTTGCTAACTGATGCTCCCAGGAAGTAGGGAAGTATTTGTTCAACTTCCAATGAATTTACCGAGCAAAGAGGTCAGATAAATTGATTAGGCCATGGAAATACTCAGAGTCAGACCAACTAAACTAGCACATAGCAGAGCTATTTCTGTTATGAACAAAAAGTATAAAACTTTATGGTCATGAAATATAATAAATGGAGTGTTATTTACAACTAATAATAAGAATGTGACTACTTGCATATACATAGTGGCATATTAACTGAGTTAAGTGATATGACGATTCTTGACTAATCCATTGTTGTCCTCAAACTTAAATTTTAAAAAATTTTATTTTGTAGTCAGCAAGTTTTCCATTTGTCAGCTTGGATGTGAAAGCTGCTATTTAAAACCAAACAGAAACTGTACATGGCTGGCTGAGCATTTATAATTCGACAATTACATAACCTCCAAAATACAGCAGAATATGAACTACATAATTAGGATGTCAGCTAAACAAGACAAGGCAATTCAGAAGGATGTCATTTTGTGGCATGTACTCAGCTGAGCTTTAAGTAGGACTTATTCTTTCCACCTCTCTTTATATGCACTAATACCAACTGCTGTCAGGACAACTCATCTTGCAGTCAGGACAGCTGACTTGTTAAGAAAGAAGAAAGTTCCACCTTGTATATAGACTGGTTTCATAAGTAAAAACGGGTCTTAAATGACTCTCTTTATGGATGTCTATTTACAAGTTTCCAGCTTGGTCTGCTCCATGTGTGTACATCCTGAAAAACTGCCAAAATAGCAGCAACAACTGATGATATCATGGGGAAAGAACTCACTGTGACAGGAAACCAAGCATTGTTGAGTCAACATCTTTCTTCTTAGTGACTTGTTTTATAATTATTAGGTAAACCAAAAGATCTGTTCAATTTGTTATACAAATATGTGTACATGCATATATGACTGAAATTAACATCCAACAATAGAAAATGTCTATGTTCAGAGTCCATCAATGCTTTGGGAATCTGAGCTATTTTCTGGTATGGAAAACAGACTTAGCATCTCCATCTCCAGCGGATGCATGCTGCCTCCTGTGATAATCAAAGAATGTAATGGTCCTCCCAAGTCCACAGTACACATTTGCTGCAAACTGCCTGCTGCGATTTTTTGGTCCTCAGCTCCAACCCTGGCTAGGCCAACACAGAGTGTCTCCTCGGTGACTGCTATTTAAAAAAAGAAAAAAAAGATACTGCCATTCAATTCAGCAAATGCATTATCTTGTCCAACATTCAAACTAACATTAGTAGCAAAAGTACATTTTAAGAAGCCCCAAATATCTTAAATCTCCTTAGTCACTCACTATGGACCAATTATCTATTGATTTATCTAAGGCTTTTCTAAACTATTTGTACTACCTGACTTATAAAGTAGTACTTCCCAACTGGACCCTTTCAGAATTCCAAAGGCTTACCTTAGTGTAAGTTTTTAGGATTTGATAAACAATCACCTATATCCATACTCTTTACAATTGCATAGCATTTGTCTTTAAATAGATTCTGAATAAACAGTGTTTATTATATGCTTATACTCTTAATAAACTGCTTGAAATATGTTCACATCGACCATTGACCATACTGGAAAAACCATAGGATTGTGAGATAAATACATAGATTTGAGTTTCTGCTTGGCTACCTTATCAGCTATGTGACAAACTTCAGTTTTTTCATTTTTTAAATGCAAAAAGTACTCTTTTCTCATTTCCTCACGGAATGGTGGTTGTAAGGGCTAAGATAATAGATACAGAAGTATTTAGTTAGTAAACCAAAGAGCCCTTAACAAATAATGAGCATTTGACATTACTTATGCTTTTAAGTTCAAAATAACCAACATCAGTGAACTTTAGTATTACTCTGGTACAACAGCTGAAGGGCTGACCCTGTCATGGTTTTATTGTTTAGCTGGGCAAGCTGTCCTGATTGAACAATGATCAAAATGGGGTAAATGATTTATATGAGGACAAGCAGGCATGCAAGGAACTCTGCACAAAGTTATGGATATTGAACACTGTTGCAGATTATTTGTTTCATGACTTTAACAAGGCCTACTGAGAATAAAATAAGCAATGGTCACTCAAGGATCTCCTTATGCAAATTTTCTATCAAGAAATAGGTGCTCAAAGGCAGTCAGCAAAACTTATGACAATATAATGACTAGTTCATTTAAGACACTCTCAATTAAGATTTACTGACAATAAACATTTTATTACATAGTATGCACTATGTCTAGACATTAGGAACATAAGGTTAAATTCTCTTATCTTTATCCTGAAGAAAATTATCCCTGATCTCAGTGTGGAGAATGAGAAAAAGCAAAATCAATATATTTTTGCAGGACAAATCTCACCATAGATTTCGGCTAAAATGGAAGTTCTATATTTTACTAAAATATTTATATATTAACATATTTACATTAAATCTGATTTATAGTTAATTTGTGAAAAATCTTCACTTTCTGGAACTTTATTAATTTTACTAGAAAGAACTCCATGATTATTCTTTCAGTACAACTTTCAGCCTATGAGATTCAAGTTAAGGTTGGAAAAAAATGACAAGAAAAGGTACAATTCAAAAACACTGAGTCTGGCTTTCTTGGTGGTGGTATACGTATGTGTGTGTGTCAGACGTTGTATCATATACACATCTCAGTGCAGCAGTAGGGGGATATCAGAGCCCTTTTTGGGTCCTGAATACCTGGTTCTTCTCCTCGTATCCTTTGATTTTGAACAATCTCCAGAAGTTGCTGGGCTGCTTGGTTTACACTCATATACCGAGGAGGTTCATAGATCTTCCTTCCCCTTAAGTGTAAAACTAGATGTCATTGTTCTGAGCCATGAAATGACATAATACATTTTTAATGCAATTATCCCCCAGGTAAACTCAAGTACCACAGTCTACATTCTGCTTGAAGCTTTCACATGCTACCCACTTTAAGTATACACTAAAGCACGGATACAATGATTGCTATCTTAAGCTTCTTAAACTTTTTTCATTGTTCTACTTCAGCTGCCCTCTGATCTCACTGAATAGTGGCAGAAATAGAAGTCCAATAACTTAAAGATAAATGTCTAAATCAAAGCTACTTTTATTCAGAGATACCTTAGGCAAAAATAATTCCAAATAAGTAGTGCTTTGTTCTATATCCTAGCTTAATCAGGTTCTATCGTGTTCATTTTTATTACTATGTTTAAACCACATATTCCTCTTTTCACTTCTTCCTCTAAGAAAAAAACACTAAAGCAGTAAATATCTGAAAATCTTGGAGGGTAAGTTACGTTTACTTCTTTACGCCTCAAAAGCCTACCCATGTTTGCCCAACGATCATAACAAAAATATTGCTTTTGCAGTTTACAAAACAGTTCATATAGATGATTTTACTAACACTAAAAATAAAGTCAGCACTGTCCAAAAGAAATATAATGCAAGCCACAAATGTAATTTTAAATTTTCTAGTAGCCATATTAACAAAAGTGGAAAAAAAAAAAAAAAAAAGAGGCAATGGGGCCAGCCTGGTGGCATACTCGTTAAGTCTGTGCGCCCTGCTTTGGCAGCCTAGGGTTCGCCAGTTCAGATCCTGGGCGTGGACCTACACACCACTCATCAAGCCATGCTGTGGCAGCATCCCACATACAAAATAGAGGAAGATTGGCAAAGATGTTAGCTCAGCGACAATCTTCCTCAAATAAAAAGAGGAAGATTGGCAACAGATGTTAGCTCAGGCCCAATTTTCCTCACCAAAAAAAAAGAGGCAAAATTAATTTTAATAGTATATTTTACTCAACCAAATATATCCAAAATACTACAATTTCAACATTTACTCCTATAAAAATTATTAGACATTGTTTTTGTACTAAGTTTTTAAAATTTGGTATGTATTTTATACTTACAGCATGTCTTAATTCAAATGTTAAATTTTCACTGGAAATACTTGATCTGCATTTAGATTTCATAAAATTCATGGTTGTAAAAGTAGATTTACATATTGAAGTTGTTCTAACTATACTTAAAAGTTTTCCAATAACTAAATTGAGTATTAGTTTTAAGTTAATTAAAATTAAATTATAAATTCAGTTCCTCAGTTACATTAGCCATATTTCAAGTGCTCGTTTGTCAGATGTGGGTAGCAGCTACTGTACTGGACATTGCCTCTATAAGCAAAAAAGGATTATTACTCTTATTATACCTATGAGGAAAATAAGGCTCAGAAATGGAAGTAACTTGCCCTAGAGCACATAACCTGAGGCAGTGCTAGTCCTGAGGCAGACTCAGGACTCGAACCCATGTCTTCTGACTCCCAATTCGTTCATTCATTCCACAAGTATATACTGAGTGCCTATGGGGTGCCAAACACTGTTCTTAGTATTGAATCTATGAAATATTGCTCTTTCTACTCTACCACACAGCTTAGCATTTCATAAAAGTGTTTAATTTTTAACCATTAATGAAAACTGATTTTCAACAATTTTTAGAACTCATGTCATTTAAGTAGAATTTATTGTTCACGGAATTAAAATAGATGTAAGCATTCTCAGAATAAGAACTTACTTGATTAGATTTTCCAAAGACTGCTCCTTTACTTTGATGTCTGTAGGAAGCAAAAAATAGTTTTCTTTTAATTTAATTAACTACTTTATCCAAAACCCTTTGTGTAAACTTCAGTGGAGTTACCTAAATTTTGGGGAAACAGTCTTCTCAAGTCTCCAAAATGCTCATTTGAGAGTCTGTGACAGTCTTCCCTCACACTTGTTTCTAGCCACTTTTTTATGGAAATACAGAGAAGGATGGAAGTTTGTGGTTGTGTAAAGGTCATTAGTTAGAAAACATACATGAAGTTGGCCTTGAGACCATCCTGAAAAGATCTAATTTCTTCTTGGAAAAGAAGATACAGGAAAGAGTTAGATAAATATTGGCATATATACTACCTAACAGCTAATCAAAATCTTTGTGTTCATTTCTACTAGCTGCTAACTGCATAGACCCAACTGAAAAATCTTGTTATGTTCCTATTCTTACCAATAATGCAGGCACTAAAATGTAAGCTTCAATGCATGTAATATAAATAGAAGAAAATTCTATCCACATTTTGAAAAGAGACTTTTGCTTTCTTAGGAATGGTATTAGAGTAAGTCATTCTAATAACTTATGAATAGACACTTTAAATATTCATGCTTTTAACAGGGCTTTCCCGAGCACTGGCTGCCAGGTATACAGCTACCACAGGGGCCAGAATGCACATAATCTGCTCTCATGAAGCTTGACAATCCAAGAGTCACAAATATTTGATTCTTTACGCTTTTTAATCACTGACACTCAGCTGAACAATTTGGTAAAAGGTAAAAAGTGGAATTGCTCTACATCCTCACAGGAACTCAGTCCATAACAGCAAGAGCAACAGCTGCTTCCTGTCCTACATACTGAAAACAAACAGTTCAGCCAAAGTTTGTTTTTACAAAAATAAATATAGTGCAACTGAGGGGTCTTTTTGATAGACTCCTACAGCTTTCCTAAGTGATTATGAAAGTTTTTCTTATACAGGATACTAAAGAGTTTGCTTGGAAAATATAACAAAGATTAATCCCTTATATGTGTTTCTAAATGTTCTTGGAACCAGTGGTAAGTGTATTTTTCAGGTTCAAAATATCATTAATTATTTAATATTTCCACTTGTCTGGCACATATAGGAAAAAATGCATACCTGTTACTGAAAATCAGTGGCCTGCAATATAATTAATGGTATAAGTCAACTTAGATTTCCTTTACATGATATTTGTGAGATTTTTTAAAATTCAACAAATTTATTAATTCATTCACCTTGAGCTTCTGAAATGTTGTTTATGATGGTAAGGTTTTAAATTTAATATTTCCAATTCTTTTACTTTTTTAATGATATGCTCTACAGAATCTGATTTTAAAAATGAAGAGGGTTGGGGAGAATTTTTTACAGGCAAATGCTTTTTAATCGAATATAAGATTGCATTAGTGAATTAATCTCAAGCCAGACCAGTCTTAATACTTTTCCCTTGTCTTCACACAGGCCATAATTATTCCTCTCTACTTCTACTTGCTAGAATGTAAACAAAGCCTATTCATCTTAGTACCAGCACCATAATGCAAAGTACCCAGTAGACAGTCCATAAATGTCTACTGAATAAACTTGGTCACATGGCTCTACTACTACCCACCCAACCAGCCCATCTTAAACTATCTACTTTAGTATTAATTAGATAATTTAAGTAGAGTAAGTCCCAACTCCTTCATAAAGCCTTTGTTGATTTCCCCTCAAATGCTCTTTGTTCTCTGAAATATACAATTAATGCTATATTTTATTAATCTCTACTTACATCATATATATCAGTCTTGTCTTTCCAAATAAATTTAAAATTCTCTGTGGTTTCCTACCATGGTCTATTCTCACTAATCCCTACAGGGGTTGGACCATAGCCGGCATTCAATAAATACATACTAATTTAAATGATGAGAATTCCAGATGATTAAATGGCGAGATCTATGGTTTGAGGATTTGGAAGCATGGTATCTTATACTTCACACCTTGTTCCTGCTTTTGTTAATGGAGCAAGGAAGACATATTGTTTGACCTTGTTTGTCTTTTCCCAGGGAAGCCAAGAAAAGAGGCAGCTCTTAGAAAGAGAGTTCAAGAGCCAAAGTTCTGGTTTGTCCTTCCTGCTTCTCCATACAATAGAACTTAATTGTTCTTTAAACTTTCATGTCCACAGCATGTTAGTTCCAACTAGATTTCAAAATCCTCAGGGCAAGACCCATATCTAATACTTCTTAGTATTTTAAAAGAAGCGAACTCCACATTGGGCTTACAGTAAACATTTAATAAATACCTGTAAATTGATTTTCTAACTGCCTTTCCAAAGCTTCCTGAAAGATTTTCCCTCTTCCCCCCATTTTTTATGGACATAGGGGAAGTTATCAGGTAGCTTGCCTCTTAAGACTCTTCTCTCTCTGTTCTGTTTTAAAACTTCTCAGTGCTATTGTAAAACACACACTCACCCCCAACACACACACATACTCACTCTAGTATCTGAGTTCCAAGGAAAGCCTATTTTCTTTCTTTTTTTTTTTTTTTTGCTGAGGAAGATTCACCTTGAGCTAATATCTGTGCCAATCTTCCTCTATATTTAGTATGTGGGCCACCAGAACAACATGGCTGCTAACAGAGCGGTGTAGGTCCATGCCTGGGATCCGAACCCGGGCCGCTGAAGCAGAGCGTGCTGAACTTAACCACTAGGCCACCAGGGCTGGCCCATGAATCCCTATTTTTTTATCCCTCAGTTGCATATATTTGTACTTCTTTCTTTAACAAAAGTCCTTTTAACAGCTGTCCTTCCCTCATCATTCTACTTCGATCTTTACATACTGCTGGCCTTAACTGGATCTAAGTTTGGGATAACATGATGGATATATCTAATGGCATAATCCACATGAATTAACAAGTGCCTTACAGTGTGCTTATCAGTAATAACTACAAAAAAGTAAGGCCAGTCTCTTTCCACATGGAAAATCCAAGGACAAAACTAAAAAGCTCATTAATTAATTAATAATGAAGTGCTAAATTCACTAACAATAAACTAAAATAAGAAAACATATCATACTAGTTAACTGTGGGATATAGGCATAAGCCAAAAAAATGTTAGAGAAGCAATCATGGCTTGATCTAGATCTAGAATTAATTTCGTGTCAATGCGGATGGAATAAAAGGAATGTGTTCGGGCTGGAACTGAATGAACTAGCAAGAGTTAAAGACCTTCTCTGCCAATGGGTAATAAGACTGAGTCTGAGAGTATAAACTAAAAAAAAACTTCAACCAATTAACTTCCATAAATATTTATTGAACAGCTACATTGTGACAGACTTCTAGACATTAGGAAGAGAGCAAGGAGCACGACAAAGTCCCTGTTCTTATGAAGCAGGGAAGAAAACCAACAAGTTAATAAAATAATGCAGATTGGTGGTAAGACTGGAAAGAAATAATACAAGGTCATGGGAAAGAGAATCACTGGGGGATACAAGGTGAACCACATTAGATTAGGCACAGCTCCACTTTAGATCAGGAGTCGGCAAACTTCTGTAAAGAGCCAGATAGTAAATGTTTTAGGTTCCGAGGGACATGAAGTCTCTGTCACAACTACTTATCACTGCCATTGTAGCAGGAAAGCATCCACAGATGATACACAGATGAAGTAGCATGGCTGTGTTCCAACTAAACTTTATTTACAAAACAGACAGTAAGCTGGATTTGATCCATGAGCACTAGTTTGCTAATCCCTGGTCTAAATATTAATTTCCATTTCTACCCCATAAGAAATGCCAACTATTAGTAAAACTTTTCTATAATTTTTCCTACTAAAAGAGACATATTAATTGGGGTTCTGATAATGCACAAATTATGTAATACATTATTAAACAATAGAGAATTGGCTATATTACACAAATAACCTAAATGTTTTTGGCACATAGGAATCTTTTCTAATGTTCTGAATATCTGTACTTACTATAGAGGCCAAAATCATGGATTCATTCTCTGCCGTGATCCTGTGCTATGTGGCAGACATTCTGCCGGATGGCTTCACACACAGTAATCACTAAAACAGTGCAATTCAGTGTGTGATCTGAGGACTGATGCCAGTACGTGAGCATCTTGTTACCAGTAAATAACGAAGTAACTATAGGAGAATAAGCGTTTACAAACATTTATAGTAATTTGACATTGACACAAAAGATTGGAAATTAAAAAACAAATATATATAAAAAAAGAACAAAACCTGGTCCTTTACCACATATAGTTTGAGAAGTACTGCTCTAAACAAATTCATGAGGCAAGGAGGGATTATTCCTCTTTGATAAAAATGAAAGGAAAGGTAAAGAATGTTCACAATAATTCTCTACCTATTCTCTATTTCTGTTCATCAATCACAGAACAAAGCTTTGAGACCGGTATATTTACAACATACGTTGTTAGAACAGGAACTGATAGCGAGTGTGAATCTGTACAATTCCAGTGTCTCTGCTGGAAAATGCAGCCCGGGTCCTTCTGAAGCTCTATCAATACCATCTCTTAGTATACCCAAGACAGGGATCCCAGCTCTTCCCACACTAGGTAGGAAAGAGGATTTGGGCAGCATGATACAGTGAAAAGAGCTGGGAGTTAACAGGCTATCTGCATTCTACCGATTCTGCCACCAATAAGCTGGATGACAGTGGGAAAATGATTCAATAGCTCTATAAATTTCAACTGTAAAACAGGCCTCAATAAGACAGTCTCCAGAGTCTCCTTCATATTGATAATTCTGTGATTCTGATAGCATCAATACTGCAGTATTCAAAGAACATCTCTGGGAAGACAAAGCATGGTGCTTAGTAAGAATAAATGCTCAATACAAGTCTGTTGAATTGCAGTAAACTGACAACAACAGGGTCTTGATGGACAATGTGTAAGACATGGGATGCTGAAGAGGATCTATTAAGGCATAAGAGAGGAGCAGCATGAACTATGGAGTGTATGCAGGAAGAGCCATGTGGTATTTGGAGCAGAAAATGCATGTCTCCCTGAGAGTATGAGAAAGTGGCTAGACTGTCCTTTCTTACCTCTAGCTAGTTACCCACAGAATGGTTTCACCTTAACACAAAATCAAAAATGAGAACAATATGAGAACTCCATGCGGTGACTTTAAGGAAACTCCAAAGCCCTTACCAAGTAAGCATAACGTGTGCATGCCGTTTTGTCTGTTCTTCTTCACTTTATCAAAGAAGCTTTCTGGTCTCCACGTGTCTGTCCAAAAAACAATAGAAACTGTCTCTCCAAACTTATACAACTAGAAAAAATAAAAACATTAATTAATTATGGAATAATTCACTACTATTTCAGAGATAATCAAAATAAAAAGTGAGAACCAGACTTGAGATGGGTTGGGGATCAAATCTGTCAAAAAATGGTAAAAAAAGTTCTCTTTGGTCCACAGCAGCTGGTGTCTCTCTGATGCCCTTTCAGTAGCAGGCTTCTAGTATTTCTGCATTCAGTATAGGAATATAGGTAACCAGTTCATGATTTAGCTATGTAGCTGCTAAAAATACTGAAATACAAAGAACCCAGAAGGAAGTCAAAAAAGACTTTTGAGCAGTCAGAGCAGGGTTCACAAGGTGAATTATTATTCTCACTTTACAGATGAGACCACCAAGGCTCAGAAGATCAACTGACTTGCCTAAGGTCACACAGGTAGTTAGTAACGAAAAAGAAACTCAAACGTAGGTCCAAGGAAGTGCTCCTTCCTACCATGCCACCTCAGTAAAATTCATACACTGTATACTCACTCCAGCCGTTTCTCAAAACCTACTCCCTTACTTTACCCACTATCTGTTCCCTCACTATAGAGCTCAATGATGAGGGCCTTTTCCCAAACCTCCTCCTTTTCCCCTAATTGGCCCACCCATCCCACTCAACCATCACATAACCAAGAAGCCTCCTTGGTTCCAGCTTGCTTCCAGGCTGGCTGCAAAGTTCACTTAAGTGAGTCCAACTCCAAATCTTATGCTGAGAAAATCTGATTTTGAATTCTTGTTCTTCAACTTCTTAGTTGTGGGACATTACTCTTTCTAAGTCTTTATCTCTAAAATAGGAATAGTGATAACATACTGTCCTTCCTACCCATAAGGTTGCAAGGATCAAATAACATGTAAAAAGTTATTCAAACTGTGAAGTGATATGCTACTGTTAGTTCTTATCTAGGCACTATACAAAGGACATTTACTTCAAAGACTTAATATACAGTAAAACATAACACTAAAGTTTTTATGTAAAGACTTTTTTTTTTTAATTTTTTCTTTTTTTTTTTTTTATAATTGTATTTATTTTCCCCCCAAAGCCCCAGTAGGTAGTTGTATGTCATAGTTGCACATCCTTCTAGTTGCTGTATGTGGGACACGGCCCCAGCATGGCCGGAGAAGGGGTGCGTCAGCGTGCGCCCGGGATCCGAACCCAGGCCGCCAGCAGCTGAGTGCGCACACTTTACCGCTAAGCCACGGGGCCGGCCCTATGTAAAGACATAATGATTCGATTTAAACATTGCTTGAAAGAATTTTTAACAGAGCTGGAAAGCACTAGATGCTGGAAATCACATCTAGACCTCCGCCACAAATTAACTGTGTGATTGAAATAGCTGTGTGACTTCAGGACATCACCTAACTTTTCTAAGACTACAGTTCTTCGTTTGAAAAATGAGGAAACTGGTCTGGAGAAGGGATTATCATCCTAAGGCTTCCCAGATCAGTTTTCAGAAGCTGCTGCGAGAGGTAAAGGGGGAGGCAGATAGGAAGGGAACAGAGAGCTAGGGCATTCAGGGTCCTCCAACCCTACATCTGTAGAGAAGCTCAACTTTTCTTGATTTTTATGTACTGAGGTCCTAAAAACTATAACCAATACTCCTAATGGTGACTTTGAATTCCCAAGGGAAGGTTCATCATGTTCCTCATATGGCCATGACCTCTAACTTACCTACCAATGGGCTTAATTCCCCAAGTCATTTGAAAACTGTCTAGAAAGGTATTTCCCCACAGAAGCCATGCAATCCAGTGGCAGTAGAATTAACAGACCAGTATACAAAGACTCATGTAACTCCAAGAATCCAGAGTCATAAATCTCCCAACCACATGTAACAAGGTTTCTCTAAAAATGCATTTAGAGTTCCAGTATGGGATTCCTGGAATACATTCACCCAAGCTACAAGAAATGGGCCTGGCCCCGCTGGGGGGTTCTGTTACTGTTATTGTTCTATGAGAGGCTTTTTTTTGTGTGTGTGTGTGAGGAAGATTGGCCCTGAGCTAACATCTGTGCCAATCTTCCTCTATTTTGTATGTGGGATGCCACCACAGCATGGCTTGATGAGTGGTGTGTAGGTCTGCGCCTGGGATCCGAACCCGTGAACCTCAGGCCACCAAAGCAGAGTGCGCAAACTTAACAACTATGCCATCAGGCTGGCCCCTGAAAGGCAAATTTATCTAACAAATATTTATTATAGATCATCCACTACGTGCCAGGCATTATGCTATGCATAGGTATAAGGTGAGAAGCAAAACAGAGCTTGGGCCTTCCTGGAGCCTGCAGTCTTGTTTATACCTCACAGAGCAGCAAAAGCCCTGGAGTCTTGGCCCTGGTTCTTACCAGTTGAGTGATAATACACAAGTCAAGCAACCTCCTGACTTTCAGGAGGAACTCCCCTGCAAAATGGGTATAATAACTATAAACCAAATAATATGGTTTTTAAGGATTAAATGATGAAAAGTATGTAGAGTGCCGAGTGCCTTGCACATAGTCAAGACATATATATTTATAAACATATAAAGATGTTTATAATGATGATATGAAGATGTTCTAAAATGCTGTGTCTCGCTATAATCCAACTGCTTTCTTTACAGGAGTGAGCTCAAAAATATTATCAAATATCTGAAACTATGCTTATGATTTAATTCTCACAAGTTCAACTGTTTACATTCTAAAAAGCATTTTTGGTATCTCTAATCAGATTTTGAAATATCAGTATTACTCTATAAAAAATCTTTAAGGGAAAACTATTAAAGAAAATCATATATCCAACCATATATAAATATTTCAAAATGAGTCTTTGATATCTTAAGAATCATGGAAATATAGTCACGGAAGTAAATCCTTCATTCAAAAAGAAAGGGATAAATCATTTAAAAGAGAATTGAGATGCTAGTCACATATACACACTGGCTGAAGCATTCTGTGTAAAAGCATCTTTGAATTGTTAATTTGGGAGATTAAAGAAAATCTCACATAAGCACTGCTTTCTAGGACCCTGATTTATAGACTGTAACCGTTCACATTGCTGTGTTGCAAACTTCTTCAGTGACTTCTGGAACATGATGCAAACAGTTTCACCATTTAGACGTCAGTACCTCAAAGAACAGAAGGGCCAGTCCTTTGTGTTTCACAATTCAAGGACTTACAGTAAACTATAAAAAGAAACTGGAGCAAAATCACACAGAGACGAGAAATGAGGTTGCAGAAGCCTAAGCACTTAATGTCAGCCTTTGTGTTGTGATCATTTTTCCCCAAAACATTATTGATGCAAATCTAAATGTAAAGACTACAAAAAGGGCTGTTTTCTCAGAACAGTAGGTAAATACAGGCCTTTTTTTGTTTTAGCTAAAGTAAGTTACAGAGAAAACAGTTTAACTCGATATTGGATCATGTTTTTACCTATTGAAGACAACCAAAACCTCAATTCAAAATGATCCATCTAACGATATATACAGCAATATCTAGTTAGAGTGAGAACATGCAAAAGACAAATGTGAAGTAGTAAATAATTAAGAAAAATGAGATATGGACTGTATTATAAGAGTTCAGCATTTCCCCCACTTAAAGAGCACCTGAAGGTGACTTCTGAAGAGACAAGACATATGCTGGACCTTAAAGGATGGATAAGATTTAGACTGGAGAAGTTGAACATGGTGGAAGAATGAGATGGTATGAACAAATTAATAGAAGTGGGAAATCTTGGGCAATCTTTAGAATGGCATTTAGCAATTATCTAGAAATAGCTACTGCCTGACTTGCTTCTAACAAGTATCTCTAATTCTTGACGTCTTACTATGTGCCAATTCCTAGCAATTTCAGCTCTATAATTTATCTAGAAACTATTCATTGCTTTTCCCACTACCTTAGTTTGAGCCCTCAATACCACTTAGCTGAATGACCTTAATAGCCTCCTGCTCATTTCACCGCCACCAATATTTACTTCCTCTCAGAAGCAAAGATGCTTTGTAAATTCCACTTTACAATTAGGTTTTAATGCTGCTGTTATTTTATATTCAAACAACAATATTGTGTCATTTTTTAAGTTAAAAATATCTTCTCTACTTATGGAAAAATTAGAAAATCCTTTCTAAGAACTCTATTAAGCCCCACATATATCTTTTATATATGCATATCCTAAATCAGATCAGTTAAATCTGTAGGTAAAAGATAGCTGAGCCAAAAACCACACCACAAAACCAAATAATCACCAGTTAACAGTTTTCTCTTCTATACTTAATACCAGTCTTGGAGTTGTTGACTTTTTAAATCCTCCCGTTGCATTTTGCTTAATATTGATGTAACACTGATTTTTGCTGACCCTAAGAAAGATTTATGCACATGGCCACACACTAGGTATATAGATAAAGTTGAATAACTATGTAAACAGAAGAGCTACAAGATTTATATTCTTACACATGAATGAGAGAATCCACAGATGAATTAGATGAAAGAATTACAATTTCAAGCATATAATTTCAAAGAAGATCCAACTTGGGGGGGAGAATAAATAAACAAGCAATTTAACTCAGCCAATATTTGTTGTACATTGATAATATGCATAGCACTGCAATAAAGTGCAATAGAAGATGTGAAGATGAGTAAATCAGGGAGTTTATAATATGGTAAACACATAAATATATATAAGTCACTGAACATTCTGTATAGGATGGGGATTTACCACGATTGAGTAGCAGAACGGCACAATCAGATCTATAATTTAAAAAGAAACTATAACGTGGAAGAGAATGATGGTAATGTGGCTATTAAAATAGTGATTAAAAACAGTTATAGTGGAAATGGGAAGGAAGGAAAAAGATTTTTAATATGCCCATGAATTAGCAGGTGGTCAAAAATAATTCAGGGGCAGCCTGATGGCGTAGTGATTAAGTTCACGCATTCCACTTTGGCAGCCTGGGGCTCGTGGGTTCAGATCCCAGGCACAGTCCTACACACCATTCACCAAGCCATGCTGTGGCGGTGTCCCACATACAAAGT